GGTCGCCGAACCAGGGCCGATGCACTTCGTCCCGATCGCTGCGCCAAGCTACGCAGCATCATCTATATTAAAGTACTCTCTCTTAGTGTGAGTGTGAGTCTCTTGCGAGTAAGCTCAGTTCAGGGTTGCCGCAGAATTTAAAGAATGAAATTCTCTGATATTTCCCTGATATCCCTGACACATTTTGGTGAAATGCCCTGACAATTAAAGGTATGGCAAATGGCTAAGAAGACATAATTAAAAATAGTTTTCAGGCAAAATTTGTTGTTCGAAACCTCAAACCCATTCTAGAAAGCAAATCGAGGTGATTTTACAAATGTTCCTTTAAATTTTCGTTAGTTTCCCTGACATTTTCCGGGTTTCCCTTACTTTTGAAATTCCCTGACATTTCCCGGTTTTCTCTGACTGTGGCAACCCTGTAACAAAGGGTTTCTCGTGGGTTGCAGTCGGTAAGTCTATTTAAGCCTCCTTTGTCGATTGCAATCACCCGCTTCCACCAATAGACTCGCTCAGTTTTCTCTTTGTCTATCGATTTCAATATTCACAGAGCCGGCTGGCTTGGGATCGCTAACAAATCAACCGGACGAAATGATTATTCAAGCTGGAAGAGGGGGGTATGGGGGTTCTCCTCCTGGAGACGGATACGAAGACAGAAGAAGTAATAATGCGGCGGACGACCCGGGACCCGGGCAGGGACGGAGGGAGGCCGGGGCTTGACGCGTTGATGCGCGTGAGTGGAGCGAGTGGTGGTGCTTAAGGTCGTTGTCATCACTCACGCCCGGACCTGGTTCGCCATCAGTCGAGGAGCTTGCACGGCCTCCACTCGACTGCACACTGCACGCTGCACGCTGCACGCTGCACTCGACCCGGGACAATCAGCCGGCATCGCTCATCGTCAGTCGGGGTCGGGATCAGCACTGGACCACAGTGGAGCATGGAGCATCATCCTGGGAACCACGCTCCTTTCTTTCGCTCCCCGTTCCAGAAGTTTAGAAAAGAGGAAGGGGAAAACGGTGAAAAAGGAGATTGAAGAGGAAGTGAGAGGAATGGACGGAGAGAGCGGTGATGATAAAGAGAGAACAGAAGAGGTAGAAAGAAGAAGAAAATTAGAAGAGAAAGAGAGGAGAATGAGGAGAAAAAGAGAAGAGAAAGAGAAGAGAAAAAGAAGGCCACGAGTGAAAATGGAAAGGCCCCAAAAGCGTGATTAAAAATGGAAAAATCGGCAAAATCGCGATTTACATTGGTTTGGCTTATTTTTGATGGCAAAACTGCGGTAAAAATCACGTGTTTTTCGTGTGATCCAGGTAAAAATCACTGCAATTCGAAAGTTGCGGTAATTTTTGTGTACAGAGCCATAAAAAAATTATCTTCTTGAAATTTCTGAAGAAAAGGAGGTTTTTAAAATGGGAAGGCTAATACTTTCTGCATCCCTGATTAACGCGTTACGTGTAACGCCTGGGAAGCGAAGCGCTTTGAGGGGATGGACCGCGAAGCGATCAGCCCCCCCCCCCCNGTACTGTGAGTGCCCCTCGGGTCGAGCTTGCGTCCTGGATAGTTTTCTCGCTCGCAGGAACTTCACCTATCAACTGCCTCCGTGAAATGAGTTTAGAAGCGTTGCAGTCAGTTCTGAGGGGGGTCGGCTCAAAGCTCAAAGCTCAAAGCCCCGCAAGTCGCGGCGGTTCGCGAGGAAAGTTGGAGCGTGGAGGCCGCGTTTCGGGAAGAGAGGGCTCATATCTCGCTTAAAATCGGCCTGGGCAAAGGTTGAACAGCGCTGCCGACCTGACGACCCCTCTTCGTCCGAGCGGGGGGTTTTGAACGACGGTTGGCGGCGCCGCTCTTTGCGCGGGCGTCCGAATTTGCATCCGCCAGGCGAAAGTTCCGAGGCTTCGCCACCCTCCACAAAAGCTCCGCACACACACAAGTCTTGAAAAATGAACGGATTTCTGCCCGATGGAACTATGTGCATTATGACGTGAGCCCTGTTATGCATGCATTCTTATCGGTCTCAGGGCTCATTTCTTTCTGCACGTAGTTCCGTTTGGTAGGAATACGTCCAAATGTCCCGTGGCGTCACCCGGAAGACCAATTCACGGTTGCCACAGGATTTAGAAAATGAAATTCTCTAACATTTCCCTGACTTCCTTGACACATTTTGGTGGAATTCCCTGACAATTGAAGATGTGACAGATGGTTATGAAGACATATTTGAAAAGTGTTTCCCGGCAAAATTTGTTGTTCGAAAGCTCAGACCCATTCTAGAAAGCTAATGATGGTGATGATTTAACACATTTTCCCTGACATTTTCGTCATTTTCCCTGACATTTCTCGGTTTTCCCTGACTTTTTAAAATTCCCTGACATTTCCCGGTTTCCCTGACTTTTTAGAATTCCCTGAGACTTCCCGGTTTTCCCGGTATTCCCAGACTACGGGAACCCTGTAGGAAAGTATTTGAGACTTTCCCGATGCGCTCATCGTGGTTTTGAAGCATTATCCGTTCGCAACAATTCTTATTTCTGCTCTAGGTGAGCTTGCGCGAGACGGATAATGGGGGGCTGGGGTGGTGGGTGCTGGGGGCATGGCCGATGTGTGAGCTCTTGACTCTTGATGGCGGGGTCATTGTAATCCGGAGCGAGCTCCACTGCAGACGCAGAAGAGGACGAGTCCGAGTCGGGCCTTGAAAATCCGGTCCGGCGGCGGCGGCGGCGATCGCGGAGCTGGAGCATCCCCGGTCCAGGACCGGTCCCGGTCGGCAGTCGCGCTCGCCGCGCCGGGGCTCATTAACCGACTGGAAAAGGAGAAAAATTGCACCTTTCCTTTCTTCCCTTTGTCGTCCGACCCCACTCCACTCACTCGTTTCGTGCCCCCACTTCCATTCCCACTCTCCACTCCATATCATCCCATTCCCGATCCACTCCGACCATGGCTCCAGATTTTCATCCTTATAACGCCAGCGGACCGATTATTGAAATTTATAGACAAAGCCATAGATAAAGAAGACGTAAGGAGTATTATAGGGCGATCCTACTGCTTTAAATGGGTGGTTCTTATAGACTAAGAGGGTAAATGATGGACTACCTATCGGGTCTCTCGTGGGTTGCCATTAGTTGGTCTATTACATACGTCTTCTGTCAAATGTCGTCAATTACTTCTCGGAAAATATCCATTATTTAAGGAAGTTACGAACATTTTTCCTGGAAATTTTCAGGCGTTCCAGATCAAATTACGAACGAAATTCTCGGAAAAATTTGAAGAGTTCTCCAAATTCTCCAAAAAATCCGTCATTTTCAAAATAAATTTGGCGACGTCTTGAAGGCCCACGCGGCCTTCTTCCTAGCATGGCAGAACGGCCATTTTAGAGGCCGTCCCTAAATTACGTAACGCACTTTTTCGGCATTGACTCTCCCCTCTCCCCTTGTAACGCTTTAGTGGCGCAGGTCCTATCCTTTGACAAACGTAAAGACAAAATGGCGTAACGCTCTCCTGGACCCCCTCCTCCCCCGGAGCGTTACGTGATCTAGGGATGGCCCCTTAGGAATTTTCGCTGATCTACAAGTTGAAAAGATGAAAACATGATTTCGTGATGCATTTGATGCGACTTGATTGCGGGTGCATGGATTGGATTTCGAAGTGAAACAGGAAGCCGATGGGAAGCCACTCATTTGAAGTGGCGGGTCATCGAACCCGGGGACGGCTTCAACCCTTGCACTCTGACCCAGTCCCCTAATACACCAACATTCGATCAACCTTGAACGGAGGGGAGCGTCGCGGCGTCGCACATTGGTTCCAGAGCCCGATTTAGGCGGCATTAATTCGAAAAATTGACTTTTAATAAAAATGAAAAATTGCACCACTGGTCGATACTACATACTCTGGAGGGTATCTCGGCCAAATATCATGATGATTGGATGAGTGATAAGAAAATGATAAGCTTCCAAAGGTAAGCGCGCAGGTCGTCTTTCTGCAGTTCATACCAGTTTCCTCAGTTATCACAGTGAAGTGATGTTTATATGTGAGGTTCGTCGCCATTTTCGGCACAAAAGCACAGTTTTCAAAAAGGAATCCTAAAATTGAAGGTAAGTTTAAGGTTTACCATGTTGAAATCATATCTTTAGATTAAGTCTACAGCTTTAGATAAACCGTTAGACATAACGCTATTTTACGTGATTTTCTCGTATTTTTCCACATAAATGGCTGAATTTAACTACTTTGTCACCCTCCGACACCTTTTAAACGGCCATTTCTAGTTACTACTAATCCTAGACATGATGTAGATACAAATATCTTTTGCCAGTTTTTGCCGGTTTTTTAAATACAGCCTTTTAAAGGTCGCCCGCTCGGTTCTCATGAGAACTGGATATATCACATCACGGGTTGGTGATACCGTTCTACCTTTCTTGCAATGTTATAAAACTATTTTTTTCTTTGATATTCACTTAGAGAGGAGTCTATTCACTTGGTTTTTCAAAACGATCATGGCAAATGAACGAATGAACGTATCGCCCAGGGCCATCTTTGCATCTCTCTGACGGAACTGGTCGCTTGAAATTTTTCACTCACGAAATTTTCGCTTTTTTTTCTCGGCGGTTTTTTTCTTTTTTTTTTTCATTTCTCACTTCATTTCTTTTTCTTATCATGATTTCTTTGTTCTATCTTGTTGTTACAGGTTTGAGAGCCTCCAACCAGACATCATAAGTTCAAAACTCCTAATTAATTCAATGAAATAACAAAAACAGTAATAAAATCACAAAAGCTGCGACTTTTACCTACTTTTTTTGGCATACCATTTTCTGAATCTATAAAATGTGATAATTACCCGCAAGAATATTCACCTCCTCTCGTAGCCAGTGAAATTTTTCTTTCAATGTAATTTTTTGTGAGTTATTTTGATTGCTAAATGTGTTCATGATGTTAATTATTCATCAAATTTATATGCGATTTAGTTGTTGTACATTTTAATATACGTGAATTTTGAATTTGAATATATTTCTTTAATTTCGGACGAAAACTGACTCTTGCTCTTCTTGATTATTCGTAGGTACTTCAAAAAAAAAAAAAATACAAAATACATTACAACCTCTTTAATTTAAAAAAACAACGGACCAGTGTCCGACACATTCAATGCCTTTTCTCCCTGTCCAATAGTATTAAGGACGCTTTTTACTTTATTTTCATCCTGCCATTTCTTATACCTCAAAATTATGGAAGTAGATTCCGAAAACAGATCTTGTTAATTGCATGCAGGTATACTTCGTTCAGTTGTTCAACGTGGCAACCCCCCCTCCCTCCATTCTCAAATAACCATCCAAAAATGAAGAATAGTAAAATCGTTGGTCGTTTTGGATGATTAATCATTAAATTAGTCAAATGTATTATAGCTCAAGCTCCAAGCCAAATTGTCAAATAATTATTCCGGTATTTGAGCGTGAATTTGCTATTTTTCGCAAATTTACCATGTTTTAGTTGACGATGGAGTAAAACTGACTTCAGATTCGTGATCAGCGACCCAAAAAACACATAATAACATGTATTGCATGCCAACAAAGGTGATACTCTAATTAATGCCGCCTAGATCTGGCTCTGGAACCAATGTGCGTCGTGTGGCCTACATGCTCCTGCCTCGTCGAGAGGGCCGTTGCATCGAGCTCGGAGTCGTCGAAGGGTCCAGAGCCGATAATACCCCACCCCGAATCCACCAATTAATTCCTTTCAATTTATCGACGCCCGTTATAAAAATAGCCTTTTACCCCCTCTCACCCCCTTCCCTCACCCCTGGGTCCGCCAAGCCAAGTACTCTTGCACTCAAGTCGTTACCGCCAGTTGACAACGTCGTTTTGCCTCTCTTCGACTCCGTTGTAAACGATCATTCTGGGTCGGGCAGCCTGCTTCGATTAAAATCGATGGTTTCACACGCATCTAGACATTATATTCAGGGCTGCCACAGTCACAGAATACCAGGAAATGTCAGGTAATAGTAAAAAGTCAGGGAAACCTGGAATTGTCAGGGAAAATGACGAAAATGTCAGGGAAAAATTGAGAAGTCACCTTTACAGTGCTGCCACAGTCAGGGAAAACCGGGAAATGTCAGGGAATTTTAAAGTCAGGGAAACCTGGAATTGGTCAGGGAAAATGACGAAAATGTCGGGTAAAAATTGTCAAGTCATCTATATTTGCTTTCTAGACTAGGTTTGACGTTTCAAACAATAGATTGTGCGTAAAAACTATTTAAAATTGTGTCTTTTTAACCATCTGGAATACCTACAATTGTCAGGGAATTTGACCAAAATGTGACAGAGAAATCCGGGAAATGTCAGGGAATTTCATTTTCTTCATTCTGTGGCAACCCTGTATATTTTAGACAGGGTTGTTAGCCATCGACTTAGTAGGTAGGTCAACAGTTGAATTTTCAATTCCCGAAAGTAAAAGCTTCCACCATTGGCAAGATACCAGTGGAAGGTCTCTTGTCTCTGGATTTGTCCCGGTAGATCTCTAGAAATAACCATGACAAAAAATGAACATTGTCTATAGGGAATACACGGAAAAAGGAATCCAAGTCTGGGGTATACGCACTGCGTCATTGCGTCGCGGTGGGTTCCTAAAACTGATTCAGTTCAACTCCTTATTCCACGTGAGTCCCAGTGGCGTAGCCGTGCTTTGCGATATATCGATTGATCGGCCATTTACACCTATGGAAAAGTATCGATAAACAGAGTGTTCGCAGCGAACACCTTAATCGATTATTTACCACACTGTACTTATTTTTTGCTCAGTGATGAGGGAACACGTGAATGGTTATATAAAAGTCGTACAACAAAGTTGGGGGTGGGGCGTTGTGAAAAAGCCGAAAATTCAAGGATGGAACCTGAGAAGTGCATGTATGTATGCACTCCAAAAATAAAATATTGTCTTTGTCGGGAAGTGACGTTAAGCCCTTCGCTTCGACGCACAACGGACCGAATCAATAGGAGGAGTCGGACAATACTTGGAATCTTTGAAAGCTAATACTTTCGATAACATGAAACAAAGAAGTTTAGGAGTGATTCCATTGGTTTTTTTTTCGTACAATTTACTTTCACAAACACTCTTTAAATGGAATTTGTGGCGGAATAAACGTCAAAATTTGCAGTTTTAGTCAAAAATATTAAATCCGACATCTCCGATTGACTCGATTCACTGTGCGGCGGGAGTGCAAACTCAGTGCGGCGAATTTTGAGCGTTGGCGAAGTTGAATGATGACTCGGGAAGTGGCTGGGTGTACTCGCTGTGCATCAATCATCAGTGTTGGAGGAGAAAAGTCCGAAGAAGAAGAAAAAGAAGAAGAAGAAAGAGAGGACGAGGCGAGGCGGGGAGTGAGAGAGGAAAGTTCGGGACAGTGTCAGCAGCGTCAAGATAAAAAGTTACGCTCTCATAGTTGATTCGTCAACCGAGTTACCAGATCTCTGGAATTATGCGTGAGATAACGTAACGGGATCAATGTTAAATATACGGGAATTATTATGATTGAAGCTTTATTCGTGACGAGAAGACGAACCAGGATATGTCCATGCACTCTAATGTTTTTATGGCCTATCCTTGTATTTGAAGGAGCTCTACTGCCGTGATAAGGATAAACTAGAGTACCTGTATACGGAAGAGTATTGACATCTCAATCCTTTCATAACAGGAAAAAAGTGCCGCTCTCTGATTGGTCGGCTATCGTGGAGCCCCAAGGTTGGACCAATGTAAACAAACCCTATGCTCCTAGTTTGGCCATGTTTGGCGCAATGTACACAAACAAGAAGGCGACCAAGTTCTACGAAGTTCAGGACGTGATTTTGGATGTGATGGAAATTCCTTAATATCCAACTTCTAAATTACTTGGACTCCAACTTTGATGGACATTCATGCAAAAAAATTAAGCTTTGAGTATGATTATCATTTGTTTCTCAGCCGATAATAAATGTCCCTCTGGGTCGGGTTTATGTAAATTGGTCCAACTTTGGAGCTTTATGATAGCCTAAAACTGATGAACCAATCAGAGAGCGGCACAGAGATGGCAATATACTCTCCCGTATACAGGTACTCCAGGAATAAACGCCGTATGAACATTCGAGAGTTGCCGAACCTCCTTAGATGAAATGCTTACTTATGAAGAAAGTCGTGAATATTTTTCCTTATTTTCATAAACTTCAGGTGAAATTGCAAAAAAAATTATCTGAGAAATTGGAAGAAAAATATTCATGACTTTACTAGGAAATGCATGTTTTATCAGAGGAAATTTGGCAACGCCTGAAGGTTCATACGGCGTTTTTCCTTAACACGGCAGTCTGCCCGTCACCCTGCCTCCCTCACTCACAGTTTATTTTGTGATGTTGTATTTTCGATGGGATATTTGGAAATTTTGAAATGAGCCTTTGTTGCATGTACTGGAGGTTGAAGTTGTAGTGATCTCGATTATACTCGATGAAAGTCACGAAAAATGCATATTTTGCGAGAGTTTTGCAGCTGCGGCTGGAGATGACGAGACAGTGACGCACGCTGAGAATTAACTTGCGCCAAAGACACAATTTTTAGATTAGGAGAAGGCGTTGGCCGCCGGGCACCGGGCGCACCGCGAGAAGTTTCGTCTCGAGTTCTCAAACACAATCCGGTTCACTTTCCACAGCTCAAAGTCGTAACTACCGCCGATTTTTAATTTCAGATCCCTTCCCGAGACATTTTCCTTAGTATACGTATTGAAATCCCGATTATCTTTGAGCAATAATCTTCAACTAATGTACTCTCGCCTCACCCCTGGTAAAAATTGGCAGTAGAATCTGTGTTCCAAAATACCATAGACCTACGGCCGGCTGTAAGATTTCCAATAGCTTCTACAGCCGGCTACACAATTTCTTATAGCCTTTTAGAGCCGATGGCGGTTAAGCAACAGCCAGGCGATAAAGTGTATGCTAAACGTTACTAATTACGGCTGCTAGGACTTAGTGAGTTTTTGGAATACTGCTCTCCTTTTGGGCCGTAGTATCTTAATTTATTTTGCGAGGAAAGCTCCGTACTTTTGATGGATGCCTGCCATTACTAATATATTAGAGCGCCTTCAGTTTCGTATGATACTGTGCAATACCTCTGGTATGAAATAGTTGCTTGAGGCGCCGTGGCAGGCGGGCAGCCAGCGCGAAACGCGCATTGGCGCCTACAAACCTAACAGGGATACTTCACGCGTTGCGCAATGCGTGAAGTATCCCTGTTAGGTTTGTAGGTGCCAGTGCGTCGCCGCTCCGCTTTGTGTTAGGCTCTAATATTTAATCTGGCGGAGTCAGCGTTATTCAACTCATGATTTTGAAATGTTTGCACATCCTGTACGGATTATTCTCATTTTAATTGATGAAAAAAAATATGTATTAAAGGAAAATATAATGTGTGTTTTGTAAATATTAAGGTGGTTCCGTTTCAAACTTAATGATTTCCAAAGCACACGAATTTCTACACAATTTCTTAAAGCCTTTTATAATCGATGGCGAAAAAGCAACAGCCAGGCGATAAAGTGTAAAGCCCGGCGATAGGAACTATAGCCCGGCTGCATAATTTTTTATCGCTTCGTATAGCCCGGCCGTATGATTTTCTCCGCATTCTACAGCCAGCTATATGATTTTCTGTAGCCTTCTTTAGCCGGCTATAAGAATTCCTAGGGTGTTTTGAAATGCAGCTCTTATCACCAATTTTTACCAGGGACTCGATGTCACTCAGACTCGCGAGACTCGACCATTACGGCTCGCGCCCGATTTTCGACGAGGTCGCAAAATTTCAATCCAAAGATTTGCTCATCGTAACTCAAAGGGGTTGCTTTGAGTTACAATTATACCAAATACTGATTAGGTTACTAACGGAACTAGTTACAAAAACTTTAAAGATTTTCCTGAATTTTTCCCGGAATTTTTGAAATTTCCGAAATTTTCCGGACCTTCTGAAATTTCCGAAATTTTCCGGAACTTTCTAGGAGCTTTTGAAGAAATCTAAAAAGAATCCTGGAACTTATAACGGACACGGAATGGGAACACTGGTAAGAAC